TAATGAAGTTAGATCAGACATACAAGGACATACTGTACACTGCACTTGGTACTGGAAACCCAAAAAGGAGAACTGCATCCAAACCATGAGTTTATGCTTCACAGAAATAGAAAAGACATAGTCTAGCATAGTAGCAACATAAAAAAACAGTGGGAATAAAAACTGTAGACCCAAGAGTCTGGCATGCAGCTACCTAAATTACTAATCCAAAGGGAAAAAAGGAAGGCATTGGAAACACTAAAAGGGCATCTAGGTGGTCAGCAGCTCTTACAGACTGCCAGTTTTTTCAATTCCATTTTAAAGGTAAGGCACTCTCCATAGAGAAAAGTGCTGCTCTTCATGGAGCTCCAGTTTATGACACCACTTCAAGGAGCTTTACAGCTAGCTGCATTTGCTGCAATACGGTTTGGGAGCTCGCCTGCAGTATAACCCACTGCAGTAAACTATTTCCAAATGAAGAAAGAAAAATCACTGCAGAGACTTGCATCGTGGTGCTCCGGACTTTATCCTCCTATGGGGCTAAGTTTCTGGAGTGGGGCAGAGTGGGCTGGACTTTATGGGGATCCTAGTCACCTTATGAGAACAAAACTTCCTATCAGTAACTGCAACCTCTGCTCACTTGGGACAGCTGTTTTTTGTAAGCCAAACACATGAGAAAGATCATCAGTTCCCACAACATGGTGACACTGCAGCTCTTTAAAAGAGCCAAGTCCAGGCATCATCTTCAAGTAACCAATGGCCCCACAAATGTAAGTGCCTCTACAGACCCTCTCAGCCAGTTAGAGGCCTCAGTGTTTCTTTCTCTGTCCCAGTGATTAAGAGTTGCAGAAGGAAGGCAAGGTAAATTGTGCAAAGAGGTTAGTAAGCAGCAAAAGTTAAAGAAATAGGGGAATCCTTTCACACAAGCTCACACAAACCCCTACGTTTGCCTCGACTTCCATGTCACCCAAAGTACAATTCTTTGCAATCATATTTGAATTTTTATCTCAGCTCCGCACTGCTCCGCTTGGTGCATCTCTTGATGCCGGGCTCTGGGCTCGCAGAGGGGAGGCTGCAGCACAAAGGCACCTTGGCGCAATCATATTTGAATTTTTATCTCAGCCCCGCGCTGCTCCCCTCGATGCATCTCTTGATGCCAGGCTCTGGGTTCGCAGAGGGAAGGCTGCAGCACAAAGGCACCTTGGGGGCTTCCCCTTCTCTACTCCTTTTAGATAAGCCGGCTTTCTTGGTTTCATAAATAGAGGTTTTTTTTTTTTTTTTTTTTTTAAAACGAAGATAATGAGCCCCGCGTTGTCTAGACTGCAAAACAAATTGCTGTCTCTATTCTTATACTGCAGTTCTGGGGAACCTTAGAGAGGTGATAACCCAAAAGTTAATCCCAAAAGTCGGAGACCCTAAGGCTTGGAATATTATCAAATGGTCATGTGGAAATTTTCCTCTAATTTGCTGCAAAGCAAGATGTTTTGTTCTAGCAGGAAAAGAGTGAATTAAAGGTATAGTATTCACTATTATTTTGTAAAGTTTAATTCCCAAATAACACAGAGAATTCTCCAGAACAAACTAAACCTGGGAGCTGAACAGTCGCATTAGTCTCTTTGTCAATAAACTAAACAGAAATTAAACTTACAGATTTCTAGCAACTATGCAGAAGAAAAGCAAAACTAGGAAACAAGTAGTGCTTTATTTGGGAAAACACTGCAGAGTCAGAAAAAGAAAAAGCAGTGTATTGCAACAGCTTATGACCTCTACCTGCCTCTTCTATCACTCCCAGGAAAATATATATGTACTATAGCACGGCACACTGGAAGAGTCAATACCTTAATAATAATAATAATAAAAAACAGGAATATTACAGCTCTGATTTGCCACAAAGGCTATGGATAATCCTTCAGATTTGCACTACTCCAGAAAGTCACCTTTTCACCACAGATGCCTCTGGCAGTTTACCATGCGAGTTCAACATAACGAAGAAGGGAAAAAGCATTTGCTACGTTTCTATGCTAGGGTTTTCTCTAGGTAAGGGGGTGTTGCAGGGAAGTGTCTCATCCAGGACACTGGGTGAGTGTTTATAACCTCCAGTTTCGCAGAGCGGAACCCGGCAGCGGCCGGAGCGGGCCCACGCAGTGCAGCTTCCAGCTCGGATCGCGCTCACAGCTCGCTCGGCTCGCTCGGCCGACAGCGAAGGGCGCTGCGGTGCGAGGGCCAAACGGGGCCCCTCGGCTACCCGGAATCCCCGTTCCTGGCACTCCCGGCTGCCGCCCCGCGCGCGGGAGGGCCACGTTAAACCCCCCGGCCGCGTGCGACAGCGGCGCCTGCCCCACGGCTGCTCGCAGGAGGGACGGCCGCGCTCCAGGGAGGCGACTGGCGCTCAACCCCTCCTCAGCACAAGGGCCGCTTCCTCAGATAGCAACAGACAGACAAAAGGAGAACAAAAAACCCCCCAAATCCCCCCAAAACATGCCCCCTTCCCCCAAAACAAACAAACAACAACAAAACACCCACAACACTTGGGTTGCGAAGAGCATATATGTCACCTACCCATAATCCACAGTAGTTTGGGTTTTTTTCCTCTTTTTTTTTTTTTCTCACCTCACTATTTTATTCCATGCTAATTTTGACATGTTCTCTGAAACTTGCACTCAAGCAGCTGTATCTTACACACACATAAACACACACACACACACAGAGTCCTGTAGGAATGCACGCCGAGGCCCTACCTCATTATTCCTGAGATGATGATGTACAGCGCGAGCTCCCAGTTGGGCCTGGGCAGGGCCTCTGCACATGTTGCTAACATGTGATATGGAAGGGAGGCATTCAGGACAAAAACGAATTCAGAGCCTCCTGCCGTGATCAATTTTAACTCACGGATGACTCTGGAAGCAGTGAAATCTGGTGTAAACCTGAAAGCAAAACGCAGTACGTTGGAATTCTTCACTAGAAGAACATAAAAGTGCTAGCTAACTTACATTATTCACAATCATTCCTCAAAAAAAAAAAAAGAGTCAATTACTGCTTGAATGAGATGTCAGTCATGGCATTTATAACAAATAGCCTTAGCAGCCTGTCTAATAATCATCCACCCAATTAGCCTAAAAATACTTGTGCACATCTTCCAGATAAATCAACATGTAGTTGGCTCTGCTGATAAGCACCCCCCGATCTACCTATACAGGTGTATAAGTGTAATTACAGCTAAGCTTTAACTAAGCAACGGAACCCATCACCATGTGAGCTGCAAAGCTCATCTGAAAACAAAACCGGTTGCCTTTTCCAAAAGCATCATCACTGGGTTCTTGTCTCATCACAATGAAAGCTCCAGTCTCTGTGGCAGAAACACTACTGAGGTTCCACTGCCTGCCGTGTCCTGTACGTCCTCTTGCATAACACCAGCACCTCCCGGACTTGTAGGATGGCACACTCTAACTAGCCTTAAATCCAAGCAATATTAAAGGACAAGTTCTTTTGGTGCACAGATCTTTTACGCTAAAAAAATGCCTAATTAATCATCATAATCATGGAAACAGAAAAAATATCCAAGACTAAAATGCTGGACATTACGATAAGACCAAGAGCTCTTTTCCACCTACTGCAATGCACCAAAACTGTAAGTGTAAATCTCCATCTCAAATGCACTCATCTCCAAAAGAAGGAAATGCACAAAGCTGGATAGCAGCACTATTCCAACTCAGCAAGCTATGTGTACTGGATAGAGACAACAGTAATACCACAATCAATAATGAAATATCCAAGATCTTAAAAAAAAAAAAAAAAAGAGAGAGAGAGAGAGAGAGAAAAAAATTCTTCTGTTCATGTAAATACTGTGTGGCTTTTGAAGTTGTATAAGGAAAAAAACCTTAAAAAATACCCCAGAATTTCATCAACACAGATTTCCTCCAACACAGACTGGGGAATGCAAAACTCCTGGGATATGACTCCATTTAGATGTCCGTAATAAAAAGTAACACACTTACAGTATGACTATATCTTTAGAGGCATTGGCACTTAGTGCAAACTCTTGACAGTTAACTACTTTAAATCCATATCCTTCACACGTATATCCACTGATTTCCATAGATTTCACATTAATCTGCAGCTGCCCTGTATTTTCCACTTTAAAAGTTCTTCTCAGTGTGAAATTTGGTTCTCTTAATTTCATTTCTAGAAACAAACAGAACAAAGCAATTAGTGTTGTGTTAAACTGATATCCTTCACTTTATTTGTAAATTGAAGTGAGAGAGACAGCCCTGTCAATATTACATCAGGACGGAGGACTAGGGAGGCCAAGGAGAACAGAATTTGTCTGGAATTGAGTCTTCATAGAGGAACTCACTCTACCTTTCTCCCTGTTGCCAGGCACATGCAGATTCCAAAGGAGTTGTGGAAAGTGCATAGGAAGCTGCAGTAATGATCCAGTTTTACTTACACTTAAGATGCAGACGTTATCCCAGTAGAAGTTCTAACACCTCTACTTTGAATTTTACCAGGGGAAGGATATTTATTTGATTTATATATATATTTTAAATTATTTTATTAAAATGATAAAGTTCAGATATTTCCTTTGACTGCCCAAATTAAGAAGCATCTTTAATATCGTAAAGGAATTAAACTTCTGGGGCACCAGAAGAGGGAACAAATGTTTCCACACACCCATGTGAAGGTGCCCGTGTACGACTCGGCGCGTTTCTGCCGGCAGCTCAGGCAGTACTCACTTTCCGAGCAGTCTCTCAATAAAGCTTCGGTGATTTTAAAGCGCAAAGAACTCCCGGCACCAGGAGGTTTGCCCGCAAGCCTCAAGCTCTCGGTCGTTCCTTGGCCTTGTACCATTATGGCATCTATTACAGTCAAGTTATTTCTGGGGACACGGAATAAAAATATAGCAGAATTATGCAGTCTGTTGCTCTGGAAAACCTCTCTACAGACTCTGAAGTTATATCCCTGTCTTGTAAGACAGGGATATAAGCAGTCCCATAAATAATGCCCCGCAGTATGGAAGAAAATTGTGCAGATCTCCATACATAGCATTTGTAAGACAAAAGCCTAAGAAAGCACAACAAAGCATACAAAAAAGCAATAGTTATAATTTATATTTCATCATCATATTAAGAGCACCACCTTTCATTCAAACAGTGAATGCAGTTAGCTAGAGATGCTCTTTATGAGTATGATATAAACTGGATCTTGCAAACGGCACCTCTAAGTCCCTCCTTCCATGATATATATTAAACTCAAATACATAAATAGCAGTCCATATATTTTTATCAGAAAGTACATACTGAATATAGTTTAAATACCGTAAAACATATATAATCACATTTAAACAAAATTTGCCTATCCAGACAGCTATGACTGCTCAGTTACTCTTGCACAAGTGATTACCTCCTATTGACAGCCAGCCATGAATATGACCTTACATATAAGTAATAAGCACCCACAACTCAAACTCAACTGAGAAATATCTATCATACCTGATAACAATTAACGATGAAACGGTTTTATTAAGAACTGGAGTGAATTTTATTTTGACAGACTTCCTCTCTCCAGGTTTTAGCATTAGGCTTAAAACTGAATGCCGATTTTAGCTAGAAAATAAATTTTGTTAAGAAGTCTATGACCCAATGAACTGATTACACAAAAGCTTTTTAGCTAAGAGGTGGCTGGAGAGCATTTTCTTCTCCCTTAAAACACACACATAAGTTCACACTGGTCCAGGATGAAATGGAGTTTCCGTCACAGCGGTTCATATAAAGCTGAGCAGCCTGAAAGCCAACTGGAGTTGGACCAGACAAGAAAAGCACATTCAGCTGCTACTTTGCTACTTGAGCCAAAGTAACTAGTTGCTCTTTTGTGAGAAATACTATACTATTTCTCCACAAAATATTTTAGACTTCAGAAATTACTTCTGTGACACTTCTATCTTAAAAAAAACCTTCTTTTACCCAGAAAAAAAAAGCATTGATTACAGAAGAAATTCTGTTACTAAACCAGCTGTGCTTATTAATGACCAAAATACTAGGGCAACGTAAATAAAATATTTACATGTAGATTCATAAAGCTTTCATGCTCCAGGAGTTCAGAGATAAATAAAAGTATATTTCTAACTATGTTCCACTATTAGATCTTTTTCAGAATACTAATTTTGCTAAGTAAATGGGTGAGAAAAAAAGCAGACTTCAAATATAAAGACTATTGAAAGCAGGATATTTTTCTAAATTTGCCTCAGTGCAAGCACTGAATTGCTAATCTAAAATTAACTGCAAAATGCATGTATATTGGATTAAAAAGCGCTCAGGATGTTGTAAGACCTATAAAAAAAGTTTATACTTACAGATGTCCACAAAAATTTCAAACAAGTTTAAAGTGCAGAACAAAGCAATGGGCAAACCAATACTTAGCTAATTTTAGAAATATCAACCACTATGCTGAAGAAAATGAGTCAATACAGTTCTTCTATAATCCCTGCAATCTTGTTACTCAGTAAGCATACAGTGAAAGCCGTTTTAGAAGGAACACTACTACTTTTACTATTTTCCTGAAAATATCCAATATAAGCATCATTTTTTCATGCATAATACTAAATAATACTAAACTCGCATAATACTAAAGACACATAATGCTAAACTTGAAGGAACCTAATAACACTCCCTCATAACGTATTTTTTAACCCCCTCCAGACTCCCAATATCTAACTACTTTGAAATACTTACAGAGTTTCTGAAGACCTGGAACTCTAGAGTTCTCAGATTGAAATTTGTAGGTTTACTCAAATTAAACCTGAAATAAAAATAACATTTTTTTTCCCCCTCCAAATCAAGGCACATCATAATAAACATTCACATATTACACATTTTAGCACAAACCAAGGACTTGTGGCAGGACTAAAGCAATGAAACAGCTGAAAGTATCATGTAATTTTTCTTATTTCCTCCCTCACTTGTTGAGTTAAGGAAGAAATGTGAATATCATATTTCCCAAACAGCAAAAGAACACTGAGGGACCAGTGGTGAAAAATCAATCTAAATTCTGTTCCCATTGGGCCAACGATCCAAATTCTAGAAGCAGCCAATACTGTAAGCACCGACACAGCTGCCAAAGACCGCGTTTACTTAGGTAAAATGCATTTTGTGTGAGAAAACCCTGGGCATTTTAAACTGATACTCACCGTTCCGAGAGCTTATCGACAAAGGTGGAGGGGTTAGAATACAGAGCTATAGGAAGGAACTGGACATACACTGGAACGTCAGCTGGATTTTCTAGAAAAATGTCTTCCTCCTAGTGAGAAACACAATTTTTGTAAAGTTTACATTTGGATTAATGCTAATTGCAAGAAGTTCTCAAAAATGCAGTCCCTCGGGAGAGATGCTGTCAGTGAAGGAACTTACTGAGGAGCTGTTGGTGTTGGTGAGCGGGAAGGTTACGTGGCGTGGGGAGCTGAGCACGGAGGGCCAGGCCATTTCTGCAGTGACTTTCAACTGGACTTGCTTCTGGAGATCCGTGTCTACTTCAAATACCGCAATCGGTCTGGAAAAGCATACAAAAATTACTTTATGAAACTAACATGGCAGAAACTCGGAAAAAAAAAGCTTAAAAGCACCCAGAAAACAATATTATTTGGAAAACAGCACAGACCATCACATTTACATGCAAGGAAAACATTGGAAATCTGTTTGCTCCCCCAAACATGCTATAGTAGACCAACCCAAGTATTCTAAAGATATCTGCTATTAAAGTGCTGCTGTCAACATCTGTTGACTCTAAACTCTACCAGGGCCTATGTATGGAAGATGATGAGCAGAAAATGTGGTAGGACTTAGGTACAGTATAATAAATATTTCAGCATTTGCATTCCTCCTAAATCACTATCCTTTGGAGAGAAAGACAAGAAATTTTATCTTTCCTTAGAACGAACCTAGCTCTTATTGCAAATTTCAAAAATGGATTGACTCAAATCAATAAATGAGGAAAAGAAAACTAAACAGAATACATTTTAAGAGATCAAGAGATATTACATAACAACAACTGGCTGACCACACTCCTTGCAAAGCTGTAAGCAGTGGAAAACAGACCAACCATAAGGACAGTTTTCAAAACACCACCCCGACTCTTCCCAAAACATCCTGTGGCTATACACGTGTAAAGGGCAGTAAATGCACCCTAGTTGGATGGATAGTGGAGCATGTGCCTAAACGCCTAACAAATCCAAACCAGAACTGAGAGGCAGGTGCACTGGGTTCCAGCTCTCCCACTGCGAGCTGAAACGAGACTAACGGTACCGAGTCCTCTAGTCGGCAAAACCAACAAAACACTGAACTTCAAAAGCAGAAAGTATTGTGGGAAGGCCCCAAATACCCAAGTCAGATCGCTCACTGGAGTCTCAAAAAACACACTTTCTTCTTTGCTTAATGGTACCATGGATAGCTGGTTGCTTTTAAAAAGCATCATATACTTTCCTACAAGTGCTACTTATTCCAAAATACTTTCTAATAGACCTTTTCCTTGAAACATTCTCACTAGTGAGATGATTTATCCACTATGTGGATAAACAGAGGATTCTGCTCAGGTCAATTTTCTTTAGCAGTTATTAGTTCTGACAAAGAAGGTATATTTTTGTTATTATATTTAGCTACACAGAATCATTTTGTTTTTCTACTAATATCCCTATCTTTTTTGAAATGGCAGTTTGCATATGAGAAAGCAGACGTTTAACAAAGTATATAGCAGCCCACTGACTGCTGTGACTTTTTTCATAAAAATTAAACAGCAATGATTAACCACCTTTTATCTAATCTCTCTCAAGGAGAAATACCAATTTCAGCTATCACTGAAATATTGTAATCCTGGAAGAGTAGCAACAGACAACCTTTTAAAATCCTAGAGTAATCTGGGATATTAAGGTTATCACGTTAAAAAAATAAGGATCTCAACAGAAAACATGAATATAATCTGTTTAATGAAACTTTTGTAAGGTAGTGACTGTTGCCACCCATCCTACTAACTCAAAGAGCACTGCAATATGAAATATTCCTATTTTATACTGACCATTTGTAACAGAACTATCCTGTGAGTTAGGAGCTGAGGAAGTAACCAGGGTAAAACAACTCACCTGTGACTTGAGTTCTCTTTTATTTCCATCCAGCCTCTGTACAAGTTCTCATGCAAATCCCAGTCAGAATCCCACATGTCTTCTTGCATTGCTAAGTTGTGCTGAATTTTAGATTCCGCTTTAAAAGATAACGTATTTTTTAAACCTTCATGTAAAATCACTGTTGAAGTGAAAAGCTTTTTATGTCTTAGTTTTTAATTCCAAAGGTGAAAGTTACTTACATTTAGATAAAAATGGCAATCCTACATAACAATAATCTCCACACTGCAAACCAGGGTCAAAATAAATATTTGCTATCTGCAAAACGGGTAGGAGAGATCAATTAACAAATTGCACAGTAACTCTAATAGACAAAGACAAAAGAGAAAAGATTTCTGATAATCATAGGCATTTACATATGCTATAGATGAAAGAGAACTTGTAGAAACAAGGCATAAACCAACCTTTGATTTTTTTCCTGGCTCTAAATCTTCTTTATTACTTCTCAGCCTCTTATAATAGAACCTCACATCTTCAGATAGGGATCGTATCTGCTGTATTTTCACTTTCTGGGAGAAGGAGTTCATAATGCTCAGGCTCTGGTGGACTACCTTCCCCTAGAGAAAAGGTGAAATACATGTACGTGACATGTTTTTCCCTAGTACATTTGTTTAGTTATGTGGGCTGACAAAAGACCTTGGCAGCATTGAAGCATTAAGCACAGAGTTAATCATGCAATCTAAACAAAAGCCACTTCCATCACTTTGAGATCGGTTTCTGGGGATTCACATTCTTTTCTCCACTTACTTCTAAACACAGTTCATCCCTCTTTCAAAATAAGCAGGTCTTAAGTATTTTGGTGAGATAGGATGACAGTTATACCAATTAATGTTGAAAGGAAGTTAAAAGGCTCCCTGAATGAGCAATTGTTTGAGAAGTTTACTAGACAAGAGCACGAAGCCAACAAAAGTTACAGCACTCCAGGAATGAAAGAAGGATGACAAGCAAAAAAAAAAAGTTAAGCCTTAGAGACTAGAAAATGCAGCATAACAAGTGCTCCCCTCAAAAGAGGGAGCAGAAAGGATAGTGCAATAAATTAGCAGATTTACTAATCTCCTGTTGACTAATGTAGCATCTTCCTCTGACAAGTCCTATTGCGTTTTCCTTTCAAAAAAGTGTCATTAATCTAATAGTCATGTTGTAAAGCATGAAAAAGTGCAAGTGAAAAAATTATTTTCAAGTGCACAAACTAAGACCAGCAGCAGGAACAAGGAGACATCTGAAAGACAGGTAGAGTTCTAAGAAGGAAAAAAAAAACAGGGTAAAATAATTAGTGGGAGAAGATTGCCTAGAAATATTTTCACTAATTACCTTGACACAAAGAAAAGACAAACATAACCCAGTGATACTGTAAAGCTAAGTAGAGCTTTTAGAATATTGAAAATCAAGATACAGATTGACTTACTGTCTTGAGGAGGGCCCAATTCAATAGTTGAAAACACAAGATCATGAATTTAGAATCTAATAAAAAGTTTATCTTCAATTAAGTCCATTTTGAGGTCTGACTGTACCCAATCTGCTCAATCCATGACAGACTACTGTATGCAGTACAGACAAGAAAGCACAGAAGCGATTCCAACATGGATCTGTTGAGATGTACTCACTAGAGATTACCAATACTGGTGAAAGAATGTGGTAAAACCTTACTCAGATGACTATGCAGGTTTCATGCACATAAGAAAAGGAAAGATAAGGAAAGGTGAAGGAAAAGAGCAGGGAAATGCAGAGTCTGCACCATGAAATAAATACTAGGGGGAAAACATGGCTTTTTTAACCTATTAAGAGGAAGGTACAGCACATACACTGATCTATATTGATTTTGAGTGCTAAAAAGAGAGAAGAGAACTACTAAGGCTCAAGGATGGTGCTGACAAAGCATAAATAGGTATAAAGCGGCCAGGAATAATTCTGAACTGAGAAATGCAGGAATGTTCAGAACCATCCCCTAAGCTTCAGGAGTAACTTCTTAGTAGGGGTAAGCAGAGAAAAGAGAGTCACTGCTATGAGACGTATGAAACAGAAAGAACTTTTAAAGACTTGTTTGGATTCTTTTGAGGCCTGAGAATTTTTATGAGGGCCAGAGGAGGAAACCCAGACCCTTACTGCAGGCCAAGACAGCTCGACAACATGTCCCTGGCCAAGTATGGTGCTGGGGCAGAGCGGCTCTGCGCCGAAGGCAGTTCTGAACAACAGACCTGACACTTGAGCGAGCCCAGGCCAGGCCGAGCGCCGCAGCAGCGCGCGTACGGCCGCCGAGCCAGGGCCACGAGCAGCAGAGAGGCACCCAGCCTGCTCAGGAAGGGCTCCCTGTGAGGGGGTACCAATTAGACGCCGAGCACAAACTGAGCTGCAAAAGGCGACCAGAGCCCCTCGAGTCTCGGCCACTGCTGTGGTCCAAAACGCAGGGTGCTCGAGGAGAGATGCGGCTGTGTTACTCTGACATGACATGTTTTCCAGGCCGGTGTCTCTTTACTAGTGATTACTGTAGAGGTTTGGGAGAGAAATTAGAAAATTGTAGTATCCTCCCCTTCTTAGTACTATTTTTCAAAATATATTGAAGTTAGCTTCACATTCCTGATCTTTTAACCTTGCAGGAGACTGCTGGGGTGATTTTAATCACATCATCTCCATCTCCTTTCACTACCATTTTTTTTTTCTTTCAGTTTTTAATCTCTTTCCCAATGATTTTCAGTCGTACTAAATTCTCTGCTCATCAGAAGCCCACATGTAGTTCGCCCTTGTGTACAATGCCCACTGCAAAGTCAACATGGTTCAAGAGCCCCTGCTGCCATGGTTAGGCTGAATGGTAAGTGGAGAAGAACATGTTAACTGGTGTAACGACCTGCTGCTTGAATCTGTAGCCCTGAGCACAGGAGCTGCTTCTGGCACTCCCTGTGTAAACACAACTGCAGGAGCAGGGATGATCGTGACTTCCCAGGAACAACCATTCCATGTTTTTGCAGAGCAGCAGAGCGGCTGCGGAGTCTCACACATTAATTGTTTTCCTTTCCTGTACTCTGCCATGTGCCCTCTGAAGATGCACTCCCAGTGTGGAAACAATGAAAGAATCCTTCAAGGACTTCTCATCCTGAAACTTCAGCTCGTCAGCTGGCTTCTGGCATGACATTATTTCTGAGAAACACCCATGCACTTTTTTTTTCTTATTCAGAAGTACCAACACACATGAAAGGCTAAGAATAACCAAGTGACCACAGCTGCATCAGCATAAAGCTGCAAAGAATCAGGTCTGGGACCATGCCAGTATTGCAGGCAACATTCAAGCAGACGCAGTAAGACAGAAGTAGAGAAAACTCATGCTTAGGTCTTTGGGGAAAAAAAGTAGTGATAGAAGCAGGATCTTAAAAGTTCACGAGCACACTCTCTCCAGCAATATGGCAACATGCAGCAATTCAAGGAAGCAGTATCTTTTGAAAAGGACAGACAAATAGGAAACACAATGTGCAATGCTGGGAACCCATTATCTTACTGGAAAGGATGGTGGAAGAAAAACGTGTTTTGGGGAGCAGGTCAGCGAGCCTACAGCAATTACTGCCTTCACTGGTATAGTTAAAATCTGAAAGAAAGAACAAGGAAGTTTAGAAAAATACATTACTTTCAGTCTTTAAATGTCTCTTCCATTCCTTCTAATAACAAAATCATGGATTCTGGAATTTCAGAATCCATGTTTCAAATGCGTATGTATAAACCTGACACTTAGCCATGAATTAAAATCTCACCATAGATGGCCATGCTCAAAATAGTCGCACACTGATATTTCAGCATTCAATCCCAGAGACAAGCTTTTGTCTCTTTGAATTTTTAATTGAATAAAACTTCAAAAATGGTTTCTCAAATCAAAATACTGACTAGCTCTTCATTTCATCAATACTGCAGAAAAACAGGAAGCACATCTTTGCTCAATCACACTTAGCATCATTTTCCACAGAACACAACAGCAAAGTTAAGATACAAGCTCTCTCATAGGGCGTTATTTCATCTTCCTTGAACAGGGCTTATTCTGTTGGATAACAGGATGACATCTTTAAAAAAAAAAATATGAGGCAAGAGAGTAAACTAAACTTCGCAAAATGCATGGAAAGGCATGATAAGATCCTGAGATACACTCCTTTTCCTAACTCAAACTGTAGAAGAGACAGAAATACAGCAAATACTAAGCATCTCAATAATGAGATCCTTACTGCATTGGTAGAGTAACCTGTAAGAACAAACAAGAAAATAAAAGGCTCTAGGTTCTGATACTGAAGGGTCACACATGTGCATGCACATTAAAAAAGTCAAGGATCACAGACAACTAGCAGAAATTAAGAATTTCCTATTTTCTGTAACTTCACCAGAACCCCACAATGTGCTGTTTCATTTTCTGACTGTATAACCATTGCATGAACAACACATCTATTTTTGATATGCATATAATTCAAAGACAGTGAATACCATAAGCCAATGATACTAAATGTCATTCTATTATGTAGTAGAATCTCTCTCTCTGTTAAAAGTGATTTATTAGTATCAACAGGAAAGACTTATGAATTTGAGAATTTACCAAATCTTCTCTCTTCCCCTAACCTTAGTGGAAAGATTTTGCTGCATCAACTGCCAGCAAACTAACTTCTCCAGAACAATTTTCAGAGTGGGTTTTCACAATAAACCTTGAAAATTTTATCTTGAGTTTAGTAACTGACAATGCATTCAAAAAGCATATTGCTGGGATTTGCCATGCCAAAAGATTCATGCATTGATGCTTTGAGAACGTGTCATGACATTGAAGCTCCTGTGGACCCAAGCGCCAGAGCATCAGGTCAGACTGAAATGGAAGTTTCTGAAAGCCAGGTAAAAGCAAAATGAAAGTCACTCTTTATTGCTCCAGAGCAGATATAGCACTGGTAGCATTACTGTCATTTACTCCAAGTTTAACTTGTCCCTGAAATCGCAATCCATCCACTAATAACTCTTAAAGCTTCATGCTTTATATCATTTACAGTACAAATTAAGACAAGTTCCTATGCTCACTACTCTTCTGAGTTAATTCAGTCAACTTAGAAAGCCTTACGCTACAAAATTTGAGATCACTAAGAGAAAAAACTCATATTAAGACAACCAAAATACTTGTTACCTTCCTCCTTGCCTTATTAAACCTAATATTTCTCATGTTCACATTAAAAAACAAAAACCACATAATTTGTGCAGCACCAGTGATTAGACAATAAATATACCTCATAATCTGTTGTGATTTGTACAGCTCCATCATGAATTCCTTCAAGGTCTTTTGCTATTAGTTTTACTCTAAACACAGCATAATAACCAGATGTTAGTATCACCTGTAAGATAGAAACAGAGTCCATCAAAGGGAGACAAACATCACAAAAAAACATACCCAACTCCCTTGTTTGCTATGTTGGTCTGTTTGAAACACATCTGCCAATAGTATATAAATGAAAGATATATGAAGAAAAATTTAGCTCATGACTGATTAATATAAAAATAAAACAATTGTACTAATAAATCTCACTATTCTCCTCAAAAGCGATTAAGACCGTCTGAGGCCATAGTCTCTGAATCTTTCTGTTTAAAATCTGACTAACCTGAACATAACATCACTTCTTTAAAAAAAAAAAAAAAAAAAATCCCCCTCCACTCATTGCCAAAAAACAGAGCTATAAAAAACAAACAAACAAACAACAACAAAAACAACAAAAAAAAGCACACACACCATAAATTGGTCTTTTTATCCCTCTACCCTTTTCTTCTAAACCTATTTTGAAGCAAGAGATTCAAAGGAGTACTTACCGAAGACTGATCTGACGCACCAGCATTTTGCAGTTCAGGAAGGTTTGCAATTATTGTTGTTCTGTTTCCTTTTTCAGTCGCTAGGAGTTCTATGGCCAAACCATCCCCTATAATATGCCAACTTTTTATAGCCAGCTTAAAAAGAACAAAACATAGCATTTTCAGTAACAGTGATTTAATCTTTTAAAAGAAAAACTAAGAATGAATTGATCCTTACCTCTATTGGATTGCTGTTGATGACTGCAAATAAAATGCTCGTAGCTTCTGCTGCGCTCAGTATCCCAAAGTCTATAAATCGCTCCTCGGTTCTTGGAGGCAGTACAAAGTACTAGAAAGATTGACAAAAGCATTTAAGCTTAACTTACAAACAAAGTATACTCAAACTCTAAGCCCATTAACAAATGCATTACAGAAAAAAAAATTAAAACGAAAACAATCAAACACAGCAGTCCTGTATGACAGTCTCAAGGTTCTACACCTTTGCTACCTAAAACTAAAGGAAACAGAAAGGTCTTTTTCAACAATTACAGAAGCTGTTTATGGGAAGAACTGGTGAAGTGGGGGTTATTTTGGATGACATTTTTCTCATCTGTAAAATCATGATGAAATTCAAAAAAAGCCATTCACCCATACAAGCAGAATAAAGAATTAAAATGCGTTCTGATCATTCTGTTTCTAATTAGACCAAAGTCTCCAGAAAAAATAAAAGGAAAAGGAAAATACTTACATCTAAAAACCCTGTGTATGCTCTGACAGGTAGGTGAAACTTAGAAGCGTTGGTGATGAGTAAAATATTGTTATCTATATGAACAGATGATGTGGAAGGCATAAAATGAAGTGTAAAAATATATCTGGATTCATTAGGTGGAATTAAGACAGGTTTGCTGAAGTTCTGAACCTGGATCAGTGAAGAATGAAGATCAGAGTTATAATTTAACAAAAGACTGGATATTTAAACATTTAGTTTTAGGAAAACTGTTCACTGGAACTGGACTTACTTTAAACATTGGTTTGGCTTCTTCTGGTAACAAAACATCATGTATGAGGACTGAAAAACTGAAAGTGTTTGTCAGGTAGATCGGTCTTTCCACAGAATCAGGAGGACTGTCGCGGATATGAAAGATTTTTTGAGTGTGGCAGCATGATCAAATCCTAAATATCTATTAATAGGAAAAATAAATATTAAGAACTGAAGATCTTTCTCAAAAATAATCTGTCGTTCTTGCACAAAAGAGAATCCATTCAAATTCTACAGCAAAAAAGGGACATACCCCAGTGCTAGCTGACACTATGTATTAGCACTGCAAGGACACACACAGATTATTCAATAACCTCACTGAGATAAGAAAGTATTAGGAGGCAAAATAAAAGGAAAAACAAGTTGGGAGTTATTAAGATTTTTGCAAATCATGTATGTTTCTTATTATCCAAATCAGGCATCTGCAGCACAGAAGTTTTAACATGTAAGGATCAGCTTGCTTGTTCACCTTTAAAACACTACCAGTTCTGTTGACAATAAATTACCACCCTGATTGTTTTTTTTATTACTGAGTTACAAAGTATAGCTAAGTTCATTTTAATCAAAGTACTGGCAGTTCTCCCAGAACTTTGCTTAAAGCTATTTTCTCTAACCTCACTTCAGATTACAGCGTTAGAGGAGCAGATACAAAACTGGAAAACTGTAATTCTGAAGATGTCTCACCAGAGCTTTCAGCTACTGTGACCAGCAATGCAGAAAGATCACTTTGATTCCAATTCTGAAACTAGAATTTCCAATTCTGAAACTACCTTTTAAGTTACCAAGACTATCAACTAATATAAGAATAGAAAATTTAAAACCAGAAATTGCAGGTCTAAAGGTCTAGAGCTGAAAGAGGCACCACTGCTTTATACCCCTCCTTCTCCATAAAGGACTAAAAATCCCTCTGCTAATTCTCAGCATTGAGCTTCTGAGCATTGTTCAACAAACTGCAAACTCACCCATCCAATACTTCTGCTTGATATGGTATTTCAAGTTTGGAGTAGCTCTTCTCTTTTGCTTTAACAGTTATCTTGCCAGAAGACTGTGATGCTTTTTTGACTTTGGATGCTGTACACACAAGAATACAGGAAGGATGTGAGAGCAAACCAGAAATGACCAGGTTAGATCATCACACGCAGAAGAATAAAGCAGAGAGCTGCACCAAAGAAAGTATCACTGAAGGAAATGAATCTTAAGGAAATTTTAAGGAACTGACCTAGGAAGTAAAAGGCCAGAGTTCAAAAATCCTCTCTCAGTTCCAGTTCGGGGACATGCCTGTGTTAGCAAGCTTACCTACCCCAGGAAATCTAGTCATTCCTGTCAATGTAGTAACATGTCAGATATGTCCAGAAGGTCACTCAGATCCTAGGGGAGCTGAACTTCCCACACAGATCATGTCTATATCCATCTGCAACTAACCAAAGAAATCTTGAAACTACTACTACACTCTTTATTTAAAACTACCAAACAAGCAGGACTTTGGACCGAGAATGCAGCAACATTTGAATAAATTAAAAGATAGTTTAAACCCTGCAGAAATACAGCCAGAATCCTTGTGAGAATTCCATCTCTATAAGCCCTAAGAATGAAGATGCAAGGCCACAGAACAACGATGTCACAGCCAAGGGATTTGAAACTGACTGGTGGAAACCACCAGTCCTTAAAGTAATTGTTGAAAGAGCAAATATCACTTATGTCTGGCTGCTTTACTGAAAATAAGTCACCAGTCAAGGTTCTTGTTATTATTTGTGACTGTCTTGCTGTCTGTGGCTTCTGAAATGATCCCTCTGAAAGCAACAGAAGTTAAAAAAATCAACACAAACCGTTTCCAAGTAGACAAATTCCATTCCTCCCACCCAAAATGATAAACACAATTGTCTTAGAAGAACTGGAGAATAATTCACAAAGATTCAGTGAATTTTAAGAAGAATTTGAAATGCTCCAGGAAGAGGGGAGCAGTACTTACCATCAAAGCTAATACTTGCAACTTTGGTATATTTACTTTCAGAGGCTTTTAACGTAACTGGCTTGAAATGTACTGTTATAGCTTCATTCTGTGGTGTAGGTCTAACGCTCTGCAAACAGAATCAAAATATCAAGCACCTGCAAATTCATCACTGCTAACACACTTTACAGCTTTCACACATTCTTCAAAGCAAATGTTATG